TACATGTACATACATGTAATTCTCAGCTTCTTTCATTTCAGAAATGAATTACCTGTATTCTTTTGTGGATAGCAGAAAAAAGGAAATTACAAGATCGGCTGGATTATACAAATTATTCAACTTTCTATAGTAAATTTTCACTTTTGCAGTTACGGCAAAATTCCCTGCCCCGACCCACCTTGAAATGAAAAATGTGGCGAAACGGAGAACTATAGAAATAATTAAGTGGGAGCGGTAAATGGAGGTTTTTTAATTCCTGTTCCACCTCTCGAAAATTTCTCGCGAGAGGGGATGCTAATGGCTGCATCGCCTCTGTCCTGTTCCATTATCATCCCCACATAGTTGGTACACATTATGAAAATTTAGCCTTGATATTATTTAAAATTCATTTTTAATCGCACATTCTTTTAATAAAATAATTTTGAGCGAAGATCCATAATTTTTCCCATTCCTTAGAGATTCTCCAAAAAAAATAAAATAAAATAAAGATCCACAATGTCCCATTCTCAAAAAATCTATATCAACTAGGCTCATAATATGTTGATGTGACACATGTATTATAAGTAATAATCTCAATAATGATCACTTGAGTGTTTTTATTGTAGTAAAATATTCATTATCGTATTTAGAGGGTGTTTGGTAGGGACTAAAATTAGATTTTTAGTAGATTGTGATAGAAGTTTTTGAAATATGTGATTGAAAAGTTGTGGGATCTATGAAAGATGTGGTTAATATTGATTGTTTGACTTTGACTTAGATTAAAATCTGATTTTAATCTGTACCAAACATGACCTTAATTTTCACGTACAAAAAATCAGATAAAAAGTTTTATAGAAAACATTGTAGCAGAATAACAAGTAAACATCATCATAGTCGAGTCTCGACATAATATTGCGTAATAGACAAGCACCAATGTCACAATAATTGACGAGGAACGGGTTAAGGGGGATTGATATTCCGAGCCTTCATCATCTACTAAAAATAGAATGATTGAAATTCGAAAGTAGAGTTTAATAATGTGAGAAAGCACGCATATTTCATGAACAAAATACACACATGCATACGTAACGTATACAACTCTTATGCTATATACTACCAAAACCTCGTATGTGAAAGGGCAATGCAGAGGATAAATTGTCTCGTCTCGTGTTGTGTTACGTCACTCTCTACAACATGGAGTATGGACATGTCACATGTGATGGTATGGCCCTATCAAAGTTTCACATTGGGTGGATATTATTATATTACATAATGAATAAAATAATTTTAAATTTTAGGGGGTGTTCGATACACATTATTGAGAAGAAAATGTATTTTATGATGTGATGTGATGAAAAATATGTAGTTAAAAAATAAGAAAAATTTTTCGATTTACGTGTAATATTATTTTATTGGAGAATGTGTGGTTGAAAATGAGCGTTGAAAGAATGAATTTTGAGAAAAATGTGGACCGAACATGAGCTTAATATTATTATAGTCGACTACGAGAAGGGATGATGAAATGATTTTTATAAGGCGAAAAGAATAGTCGTCGAATTTCAGACAATAATAATTATTTTAACAGTACATTTTCGTCATGTACAATTATTGATTATTAGAAAACAAATAGAATGAATTTAACTGTTGTAGACCTAATTAAATATATGTTTAAAATTAAAGTTTGATCAAGTTATAACATCAAGAAAGCTTTATCGGAGAGGGTCTTCGTTAACTCAAATAGATAATATCCAATTCTAAAGAGAAAATATACACAACTTCATGTTCTACTTTACATTTTCGCGAGATTTAAAGCAGTAAGTACTACAAATTGTATCTAAATTTGAAGCTTATAAAAAACTCGAACGAATAATTTGCACGATCGACCATCTCAATTAGCACCCGCTTCCCTTCTAATTTTCCTTTTTCTTGATTTTTTAATAAATTTATCTTTCCATATCAAAAAAAAAATAAAAAAAAATAAAAATAATCCATATAATGCATGTATAAATTTTATATTCAAATACTATCTTTTGAAGATATAGATACTAAAAATAGTATAATGATATTAATCGCGACATCAATGAAATAAAAGACAACATGTCCATGCCTTTATATTTGACTTTTCATTCTCTCTAGACCTCATCCTACATATACAAATAAGAAATATTATGACTAAATTATGCTTTAATTATTAATAAGCCTTTTAAGCCAAAATCTCAAATTAAATGTTATAAACATGCAATTTTTGCATTTAAATTTTGCAAAAACTAGTACTCAAATTTAAATTACTAATTATATTCATATCATAACTTTACATAAATTTACTATAATTTAATTTCTTAAAAGGTCCTTAACCTTTACTTATTATCATATTTATATTTTTAACCTTTTCATCTCATTTTTGTCGTCAACATTCCATTAACTAATACATTTCATCTCTGATGATCATTTTTGTCCAAAAATTATGTTAGCGTATTTTGAAATAAGACAAAAATTTACTCGCACTTTTGTATTTGTTATTTTTTTTGGTTTATTTAAAAATACGAGAGACATAAATGTTTGGACCATGCTAATTGTACAACCGAGATTGACAACCTCGATTGAAAACTACTCACATGGGGGGTCCGCTTTTTTTTTTTTTTGAATTGTTTAAACATGCGGACTCCGCACACATGTGAGAGATTGTCAACCTCGGTTGTACAAATAGCATTTTCCTAAATGTTTTTACGACCTTTTAATATAAATTTTCGGTGAAACTCGTTATCAGAGACAATATGTGCTAATTAATGAAATGTTGAAGATGAGAATGCAACGAAAAAAGTCGACAAAAATATGAAAATAAGTAAAATTTATGGACTTTTAATTCAATTAAAACATGGTGCGCCTATAACAAATTTTTATGAATAAGGCACGGGGTCCAAAATTCACAAATTTAAATAGGTTTTGACTAAAAAACTTCATGTTTGAAGGTGAGAAGCCTATAAACATACCACTTGAAAGGTTGGGGGAGCTCAAATCTAATTTACCCAAAAAAATGATTAACTCATGTACTTATAAGCATTGTTCAAATTAAATTATTGGCATTGAGCATAACTCTCAATGAGAATTCAGCTATACAGCCATAATTTAAAATGCATTTTTCATCCAATTCGAAATCACCAAAAGTAACAAATTAGGATTACAACCATGTCTGCACGCCGAAACAAATTTTTAATTATAAGAAAAAGAGTAGTCGAAAAATCGGCCAAACAACCAGGCACATAATTTTATTAAATAAAAAGTCGGACCGGCTATTAACATCCGGCCATTTCCGACTGTTACGACTGTAACGACCAATTGTTAAAGTTCATTGGAATCATCGGCATAAATCTTGTATGAAAGAATATGTGCAGATGAATTTTTTTCTTGTTTATATTTAAAAAAATTATAGATTTGTTAAAAAAAAATTTATCTAGATATTAATTTATATCGAAATAAGATTTATCGATTAAAAATGTATCCTAATTTAACGAAAACGAAATTAAATATACGTAAATATACTTAATGATTGATATAAAAAATATTTTCTTATTTTGTGTTTAATAAATTTATGAGATTTTGATGTTAAAGTAGATGCAAAATGAGAAAATTTTTATCTGTGTTGGAATAAACAGATAAAAAATATTAGCTGATTTTAAAATTTTAAGTAAGAAGTGTTTGGCTTTTACTTGTTAACTGAAATTTTAGAGTTGTCTTTTAAACTAAACAATATTTTGTAATTGCATTGATTGTTTAATGATATTTTTGTCTTTTAACATTTAAAAGAGGAAAATGTTAAGTGTACATAATAAATGTACNAAGCGGGTCCCACCCCCAATGTGAGTGTGATGTACACGCCTATGAAAACCTAGATGTACCGGTAGCAAAACCGATATATATATATATATAGAGAGAGAGAGAGAGAGTAACAATAACAGAAATAAAAGGCGTTAATGCCGTGACCGTCATCCTGGGGTCCTCAAGTCACACTTGCGTGAGCTCCGAATCGCAAATATGGTCCATTCCCCCGCTTTCACACACAAATGCACGCACTCCTATATATATAGAATTGTGTATACGTCTATGTTTCTGCGCATATATGTATCTATATGTGTGTATATAGACTGTAATCACCCCCCTCGGTTGATTGGCTTTTGAATTCCAATTCCTCGTCCTATTTCTATATTTCTTGCACATCTTGATTTTTAGCTCCTTTTCTGGTTATTGAATTCTGCCTAATCCAGGTAATTCCACTGTATTCATTATGATTCCGTCTATGGAAAATTAAGGAAAGCATTTAATTGAAGGTGATAGGATTTTTTGCTTCAATATATAAATGGAAGGCTTTATGACTCAGTCGACAGATAATTAAGGATAATAATTGCTATTTCTTCATTAATTTCCCTTTGCGTTTATTTGTTAATTGCTATTCGTATCGTAACTTTAATTAATGAAAACAATAGTATTGTATTTGTAGCTCTTTGGGAACCTTCTAGATTTGGTAAATCGATTTAATTGTTGTGCTAATCGTAGGCAAGGGTAATTTAAGTACGGATTTTAATGGGTTATTGTTGTAAGAATGTTATACTTACATTCATAAGGGCGTTTCTTTCATTTTTATTTTTTCAGTGATAGGGGTATGTGGGTGATCATGATGATGGTGATAGCATTTATTCAAAATTTTGCTTGCCTTTTTATTTGTTTTTCGTGCTCCTTCATTTCTTTTTCGGAGAATTTTCTGTATCCTAATTGTTTTGTTTATTAGTGTTATATCTCTGAGACTCCAAGTATATCATATTCACAAGAAATTGCGATTGACATGTTGACCGTTATAGTTTCACGGTTTTTAAATATTGAGTTTGATTTCATTTTTTCAAGTGGATCAGTAATTTATGTTGATTTTTCAGCGTCTGCAGTTTGTTAAAGATACTCCCAATTCCTTTAATCCTTTGAGCTATTGGGTTGTTGGAGTTTGAGAAGTCAATTTGATCTTGGTAATAAAGATGAGCTGCAGCAGCATCAGTAATGACTGCAAAGAACTGTCTGCTGATTCAGCTTTGTTTGATGAAGGTGGCAATTATGGAGGGAGCTCAAATGGAGGAGGAGTTGTTCTGAAGAAAGGGCCATGGACCTCTGCGGAAGATGCAATTTTGGTGGACTATGTGAAGAATCATGGAGAAGGTAACTGGAATGCAGTCCAGAAACACTCAGGGCTTTCCCGGTGTGGTAAAAGCTGCCGTCTCCGATGGGCTAACCATCTGAGGCCAAATTTGAAGAAAGGTGCATTTACTCCAGAGGAAGAGAGATTAATCATTGAGCTACATGCTAAGATGGGTAACAAATGGGCTCGAATGGCTGCGCATGTGAGTTCCTCTTACTTGTAATATGTTACATTACAATTTATATAATATCCTGATGATGATCTAAAGAATTTAGTTTATTTATATATAGAAACACAACTGCAATATAAGTTACTGTAGTCTATGAGTGGAATTGATTTAGAGTTGATGCTGTGGAAATGTTACCGAATGAGTTCTAGAAAAAGATGTTAAGTTGCATATATTATATTTCAATATTCTATCATTTATGGAACTGGGCAAAATGAAACAATTCAGTAACTTATGGCTAAAAACCAACTTAAATCTCTTGAAGATTTAATTTATTGTAGATCTTGTTTGTGAATTTCTGTAAAGAATATCGTCCATCTCTCTTGGGCACCTCAACTATTACCCTTGCTCCTCTCTTCCCTACATACCTGAAGACAAAAAGAAAAGGAAAAAACACTTATCAATGTAAGGAAAGAATCATTTGAGAAATGGCAAATGAAGATTTGAAAGCAATGGAGTGAAGAAGCCAATCTTATTTGCAAACTAGAGATGCTAGATTGCCAATATGAATGATAGAAAACTATGCCTTATAAAACGGTTTGGTATCTGACTGAATAATATCCTCAGAGAGCATCTAAAAAGAAAAAAATTGTTAACACTGAGGTATATTACATCATGAAATTCAGTGTCAATTCCTTGCGCAGGCATTATTGTCCACTGGATTTTTTATTGTCTCCTAACAGGAAAGAAATGACTCCAATCAATCACTGGCACAAAAAACTTTCAGAAAACCACAAATTGCTACTTCCATATTTGTTAAACCTGATTGTGGAATTTAATCATATAAATACTGTTTATTGTATCTTGAGATTTATGATGCAACTTCAGACTGTTGCTAAGTTGTAAGCATAAATTGTTCAATCTGAATTTTGTAACACTCTGCATCTTGTTCTCTCCAGTTGCCTGGACGTACAGACAATGAGATAAAGAACTACTGGAATACTCGAATCAAAAGACGTCAACGTGTTGGCTTACCGTTATATCCTTCTGAATTATGCTTGCAAGCAATTCAGGAGAATCAACAAAATCTAAATGCACCTGGAATACCTGATGGAGATACAGGATGTCATGATCTCTTGCAAAGTAATGGTTGTCAGACACCTGATGTGATGTTTGATAGTTTAAACACCAATCAGGGAGTCTTACCATATGTGCCAGAATTTCCAGATGTTTCTGCTAGTAGCTTGTTGATGAAAGGTTTTAATTCTCAGTTTTATAGCTTTATTCCTCGTATGACAAGACTCCAGAAACGAACTCGAGAACCAGATGAGTTTATATCATGGTATAGCAACAGTACTTTAGATGATACTCCCCCATTTGATAGGGATCAAAATGATGGTTATCAAAATAAAACATCTCCACTAGTAGTTCCATGTTTTCCATACAACCCTGATCCAGTCACCAAGAAGCTATTATCTTTTGGTGTAAATCACAGCCATTCTATATTAAATGGCAACTTCTCTGCTTCTAAGCCCTCAGCAGGTGCTATGAAGTTAGAACTCCCTTCACTCCAACATCAAGAAACCAGTTTAGGTCAGTGGAGATCACCTCCTCTGCCCCCTGTACTTGAATTAGTGGATTCTTTCATCCAGTCTCCCCAATCTGTGCCCCTGCCACCAGATTGTCCTTCGCCTCGGAGCAGTGGACTATTGGAAGCTTTAGTTTATGAGGCGAATTCAATGGGCAATTCAAGGAATCAGTCTTCTGAAAAGAGTACGAGTTCATCTAAGATTTCTTGTAATAATGTAACTGACAGTTCTGCTTTGAAAACATCCTCCACAGTGTTCGGAGGCTATCATGACCCTAAGTCCCCATTGGGTAATTCAACGGGTTCAATTTTAAGCGAGTGCACTCCTACGAGTGCCACTGGAAGTTCACTGGAAGAAAATATATCCTGTAAGAATTAGTTTTCCTTTCTATCAGCATTTGTGATGGTGCAATTGTTACAAAATACAAAACCTTAAACTGTTCCTGAAATCTACAAATATTGTGGCTGTTACAAGTGATTGAAGTATTGACTATCCTAATATTAACTCATAAATTCATCCTTGTAGTTTCTGAATGAGCTCGTGTCAGGAATCTTATCTTTTAATTTTACACACAAGCGTTGACTGATTTTGCGCTCCTGAGAGGTTAGAACTTAGAAGTATATCTGCACTTGACAGAAAGGAGAATGCATGTTTGATCTTATTCATTGTATAGTGAAAGGGAGAGTAAACTGTCTCTGCATGGCCCACCTAATTATATACATAAAAGACTTGTTTATTGTTTGAATTGTGCTCTATTCAGCAAAATTGAGTTTCTGCACTAGTTACCAGGCCAATGCTACTCTCTTGACAAATTTTGAGACTGAAAGTTGTGTAGTCACTATGCTCTCCCCTTTCCTTGTTTAGACATTTTGGTCAATAAACTCTACATAATGCAACTTCATGTTCATGTTTCCAGATAAATTTCCATGGGCAGGGGGTTCTTTCCTTGGTTCACTTTCTAATCAACATTAAGAAAAAGAGAAAAAATATAGTTGTGAAAGATAATTTACTTTCTGGGAGGGCAATTGAACATTGGAATTGCCATCCCTATGTTGAACGTTTTATTATTTACAGTCCCAACTTGCCTGGTCTCCTTCCAAAGTTCTGATACCACAGTTCAGCAAGTATAAAAATAAAAGTGATAGTACGAAAAATGCTGGGCCAAATTGCAATTATGTGTAATGTTGCTACCCTTAGCCTCTTAGATGACCTTTCTAGATTACTCATGAAATTTCTTTCACCCTTGATGGTGAACTGGTTTTTTTATTTTTTTGAGGAGAAGAGGGAATAAGGGAGGAGCTGTGGGTTGTGCGACAAGATCAAAGGTTTTTGGGGATAAGAGTGTATTTGGGGATTAGTGTAGTAGTGACTTGGAATGATGGTCAACGAGGCTTGGTTGCTGCATATGGGCAACCAGAGGAAATCAAAGGGTTTGGGAAAGGAAATATGGTATAGAATTCTATCTTTGAGGAATACATTTTTCTCGTCTAATCTTCTTTTAACATGCTGTTTGCTTACAGAATGTCTATCCAGTTTGGATATTGACCTTTTTTATGCATGAACTAGTAATGTGTAGGTTATCGAATGTTACCCTGGATTCTGTTTGATTAGAGGATGAATCTGCCAGTTATGCTCCAATCAGCTGGATCCTATCAATTTGGTGATTCTGAAATATTCTTGTGCTTATTTTATTTTAGTTTGTGATGAATTACGATGGCAACACTGAAGTTTGCAATTTTGAACAAGGATGTGCCTTTTGACAGTTATGAAGGTTCCTGGGATTTATATGCATCATTATTCTCTTATTTTTGTCTATTTTCACATGTAATGACGGTATACAGTTTCCTATGCTCCTCCCTGATGATCTTGCTGTTTTTTAGTGGGAGAACTATATAAACTGCCACATATATTTAGTTATAAGAACCAAATTAAGTTATTGCATTAATTATCTTAGCAGGACATGATTTGTTCTCTTATTTTTTTTCTTGCCACAGGTATCGAACAAAATTGGATCCTGGATGAAGAGAGTAGAGAAAATCTGAATCAATTGCATTTCTCCAGGCCTGATGCTTTACTCGGGTCATGTTGGATTGAGCAGAGTGCTTTCTGTTCAAAGGAACATGGCACTGTGACGGATGATATAACAGCCCTCCTTGGAGATGATTTAGGCACTGAAGTAAAAGATACGAACCCTGGAACTTCTGCTTTGGGTTCTGAATGGGGTCTTACCTGGAATAATATGCCTGCTGTCTACCAAATATCTGAACCTTCCATGAATAATGCTCTTTACAATTGATCTCTGAACGTCATCCAGCATGCTCATATCAGATTTTTTCTTGAAGATCTTTTCAAGAAAAACAAATTCAGAACTTTTCATAGATAATGCAGGTTCATCTATGTTTGTTTCTATAATTTCTGTACACTTGAAGGTTCATTAAGGCTTTGTTTCTTCTTCCATATTGATCATATGCCTTCTATCTCAACTTGGGGTATATGAATTGATGCAAACATTGTGAAGATTTGGTAGAATACCCTTGTATTGTCCTCAGTCTTCAGGCACTGTAATTTGATGATTTTTGAAGTACATCTTTTAGAAATGATGTAATCATCTAGCATATCATTTCATTGATCAGATACGATTTTGTTCTCTTTTATTGAGGTCCTGCCCAAGGAAACATTAATTGGTGAGAAGTTAAATCCTCCATTTGCTGCAATAATACATTCTTTTTGTTGAAGTTCATGGGCAATTGTTTATGTGCCCCATTTTTCTTCTCTATTTTGTGATTACCATGCTTAAAAGAGTTGATATCTATGATCCGCTCATCTTTATGAATCAAATATTAGAAAATTCCTGGAGCAACCTTTCTCTTGTTTCCATTTTGGCATGGAGACATAATCTCACGACTGAATATAAGCTGCACCTGTTGAATTTTTCAGTGCTTACTCCCCTTGCAATCCCTCTATTAAAGCAAGTTTTTATTGCAACTCTGCTATGCTTAGAGTTACATGCAGAAGATAGTACCATAGGGAATCCCATCATCAGGAGACCAATAATTGAACCGAATATGGAAGTTAATGTACAGGACCTAGAACCAGCAGACTTGAGATAAACCACATCGGATTTATGTACAAAGAGCTTTCAAATATGGTTCACAAAATAACATGTTAGCTTGGAAACATGTTCTGATGAAATTTTACAGTTAAAAAGTCTTGACACTATTACTGCAAGAAATGTTACAATCACTACAACATACAACTGGAGGACAGAATACCGGAGGAGCAATATCAGTGGCTTGAAACTAGTTCTATTCTTAGCGAAGAACAGAACACCCTGGAAGAGATGCCATTGTCATAACTAACAATCTAGATAGAAATATACAAGATGATAGGGTTTATTTTTACAGTGACACCATCAATCTTCATGCAACTTCGCTGATTGTCGAGTTAAAAAAGATTGCCCAGCGTTTTGAAATCTGGATCTTTGCCATCCATTTATCAAGCTGAGTACAATATAAATTGAGATATAAATTACCTGCTGAATCAGGAATGGAGAAATTCATTGAGTTAATGGCTTAATGGTCAAGAGATAAGCTGCTGAAGTTTTCCTACGTCGTCTTCTTCACCCTTACAATAGGCTGCAGTTGAAAGATATTCTGGAGACGACAAATTGATGTTGGAGCTCTACTTAACTGTTTGAAAAGTCGAAATTTCCCTCAGTTTGGTTACCAAGCAAAACAAATTGCCAGCTAAGGCCTGACTTTCCTCTAAGGTCCTTCAGTGAGAGAGATTTGTAAACATCATAGCTCTGATAGTTCAGCAGCTAACCTGTAACCACGAAAGTTAAGTCGATTAGCTGTGATAAACTTTTATGCTACAGTGATCATGGTGCGAAGCGTTTATAAAATTCTTGTAATAAGAATTATGTAATAAATAAGAACGATATTGAAATAATCTTGCTTTACGTATATTGAATAATGGGTAATTAGCACATAATGTTTCTACCTTTCACTGTTATTGTGGAAAATATCAATACTTTTTTTTAATATATATTTTCATCTTTATTTTCACATTTTATTAGTCAAAATGTCATTTTCATCTATTTTCTCAATTAAATATTATGAAATGATGAATAAACCCTTTTCTTTAAATAAGACAAAAAGAAAAAGAAAAAAATTAATTGCAATCACAGTCTCAATTTTTTTTAAAAAACGCAAATAAGTCACAAATGAATTATTAAAATGGTAATTAGCATATAATGTTCTCATCTTTCACCGTTATTGCGATAAACATCGATATCTTTCATTTTTTTGGCATTTTCACCCTTAATTATACATTTAATTGTGCAAACTATTATTTCCATCCATTTTCATCCAATTTTTTAATAAAGAACTGTGAAATAATTAATATACCCTCATATTTAAATAAAAAACACTTGACAATTGGAGCCATCAAGACCGTCTATCGGCATTAGCGTGTTGGATCAAACTTGTGTGTGCACGAGTGGGCCCGGCATCTGTTGGCAACATTTTTTAGGGTCAACAGTTACCAAGCAAAACAAATTGCCAGCTAAGACCTGACTTTCCTCTAAGGTCCTTCAGTAAGAGAGATTTGTAAACATTACAGCTCTGATAGTTCAGCAACTAACCTGTAACCACGAAAGTTAAGTCGATTAGTTGTGATAAACTTTTATGCTACAGTGATCATGGTGCGAAGCGTTTATAAAATTCTTGTAATAAGAATTATGAAATAAATAAGAACGATATTGAAATAATCTTGCTTTACGTATATTGAATAATGGGTAATTAGCACATAACGTTTCTACCTTTCACTATTATTGTGGAAAACATCAATACTTTTTTTTAATATATATTTTCATCCTTATTTTCACATTTCATTAGGTAAAATGTCATTTTCATCTATTTTCTCAATTAAATATTATGAAATGATGAATAAACCCTTTTCTTTAAATAAAACAAAAACAAAAAGAAAAAAAATTAATTACAATCACAGTCCCAATTTTTTTTTTAAAACGCAAATAAGTCACAAATGAATTATTAAAATGGTAATTAGCATATAATGTTCTCATCTTTCACCGTTATTGCGATAAACATCGATATCTTTCATTTTTTTTGGCATTTTCACCCTTAATTAGACATTTAATTGTGCAAACTATTATTTCCATCCATTTTCATTCAATTTTTTAATAAAGAACTGTGAAATAATTAATATACCCTTCTATTTAAATAAAAAACACTTGACAACTAATGGGAAGAATCTAATTGATCTCAATAACAATTCTGAAAATATTCTTCTAAGAACCCTTGTTATAAATGATCTATCAAAAATTAGATCACGAATAAAATCAGAGTCAACTCTAATACGAGCATTGAACCACGTCGTGATCTAAAGTGCAAAGTCGCGTTTGATAATGTAGATTGAATGACAGCCCACAAATTTAGAATGTCCAAATTGATCGAGACAAAGAATTTTAGCGAAGTCGAGGGTAGTACACGAAAAGACAGGGATGGCTAAATCGTAAGCTTTCAAGGTGTCCCCTTCAGTTCGTGACCCACAAACTCAAGTAGAAACTATTTTTCTTCAAATTATTCTTATTTTATTGATTGTAAGTGAGTGTCATTCAGAAAGATGGACTGCTGAAAGTCTGAAACTACTTCTTCACGCTTACCATCCATGTGGACCGGCATGGGGCCATGCTCTCTCGTCGAGTGTTGGGTCCACCCCTGTATATAATAGTGATGAGAAATTACAAAATGGTGGAGCTTTATCAGTTGTATATTTTAATTCTCCTCTGCTCGGTAATTTAATTTTAAAAACAAATATATCCTAAAATAAATAATAATCGACTCATAATTACTCCAAATTACTATACAATAATCTTCGTTAAGTGGTCTAGGTAAGTGTTCAGTAACCATGCTTACAATTTCGAATCTTGGCCAGTTTCAGATGTTAACTAGCAGGGACGGATCCAGGATCGGATTACAGGCCGGACTAATACATAAAAAAAAAAAAAAATTATACATGATTTTTTTTTTTACATAAATTTTTTTTTTCTAACTAAAAAAAAATTAGTTTGGGCACCCCCCCCTCCCCCCCAATCCGTCCCTGTTAACTGGTAAATTTTCTTCAATATCTTCAAAACAGTTCACTATATTCCTTTTAATTGATTGCTTTTGTTCATGTGAGCAGCACAAACACCCTCTATTTGTCCTCATGCAGAGACAGCCCTTCTTGCCTACATGCATTATTTAAACAAGGCAACAATAATAAACTATTTTTTTTTTTCCCTCTGGAGCAGTCACTTATTAATGTGTTTTGCTGAAGTGTTTCTTCTTTCTATAGTAGTGACATATTAAATAATTTGCCTATAAACGCGTCTATTCTAGATTAAAGCAGCTAGGACTAATAAAAATAAATAAATCTTGGTGGCTGTATTTCTGGGCAAGTAATAGGCAACACAATTTCTTTCTAAAGGAAATCATTGATTTCAAGTCTTATTGAACTAGAAGACTAATTCTTTGTCACATTAGCAATTTCAGACCTCCTGTTGTTTAGTAACTTTATATAGGTATTGCTATCTGTAACAGTGACTATGAACCTTGGACCTGTATTCTAACGTCAGCACTTTATTTTACATCGCCTCTTTCACATGCTTTTATCGAGACAATTAGGTCATGCCTTTAGATATCTCATTTTGAATATTATTATTATTATTCGAGACGATGCTTCACCTCTCCGCTACATTATATATGAGACAATGGGCTTCTTATACAAGCATCGCTTCAACCAAGTTGCCGAGACAGTTGTACAAAGTGATCGATATGACAGCCCTACAATAGTAACACACAATCATATCACAACTTTTCAACTTATATTCAAGTTATGGAAATCTAAAAACCAATGATGTCTATGGATTGACACAAACATGACAAATGAGTTAATATGATGAGATCAGGTGTCAAGCATCTAGAAGAATCTCTTTTACTTGCCTCTCCATCTATAATAATAGTTTCTCTATCATCCAAAGGTAAATTACACATGGTAAGTGTAATCTAAAACTAGGCACCTATATTTTTTGTTTATTGTGCCTCTCATACACCAAATATACTTCATCATCTGACTTGAAATGTGACATGTTGGTTAACTACGTCTCTCCGGATAAAATTCACTACCTTTAAATTATGTAATAAAACTCGTCATTCCCTCCATTTTGATTATTAAATGATGGATTTTCCCTTTTCTATAGGTAAATAAAAATATAATAAAGCAGTAAAAACAATTAAAAAAAAATTGCAAATGGATTCTCACGTAGTCTTATAACTTTTCTTCAAATCGCTTGAAAACAATTGGCTAATAGTAACCATTTCACATCTTAGTGAAATAAACATATATACAATTAAGGA